CATCCTTCTGCAATGCTTGCACACAGGGAAAAATGACGAGAAACCCGTCAAGAGAGAAAATGAGATCAGTATCAGCACCGCTCGAAAGGGTCCATATGGATCTGTGGGGGCCGATCAGTCAGCATTCAATACAAGGGAATCGATATATGCTGTCAATAACAGATCAACATACCGGTATGATCTGGATGTATTTTCTAACAAACAAATCACAAGCTAAGGGCAAAGTTCGTGAATGGATTGATACTGTAGAATCTCAAAGACGCCGTTGGGGTAGTAGTGAAAGGGTGAAAGCAATTCGTTTCGATCGTGGAAGAGAATTCTTGAATACGGAGTTGATGAAGTGGTGTGATGGCCGTGATATTGCAATAGAGCCAACAGTTGGATATCACTCAGAAGGAGATGGATTCGCGGAGCGCAGTATGCGCACAATAATGGAAAAGGCGAATACAATGAGATTTGGAATGAAAATGGAGCCGGAATTCTGGCAACTTGCCGCCAAACACTCAGTTTATGTTCACAATTGTCAGCAGGTCAAGGATATGGAGCTTTCACCTTGGGAACAATGGTGTGGGAAGAAGCCAAGTGCGCTGCAATGGAAGGTATTTGGATGCCCAGCATGGGTATATATACCAAAAGAAAAGAGAAAGAAACTGGATCCAAGGGCTTGGGAAGGTATTTTTGTTGGTTTGAAAGAAGAGTCGGAAAAGATCTTCCTAATATTGAGTTCAAAGGAAAAGAGAGTAATTGAAGCACGTTTTGTGAAATTCGATCAGACGGTCAATGGCGCAAATAATAGCGATCTTATTTCTTGGGAGCAGATAATTGGAGAATCGGAAATGGGGGATAATGAGGCTAATGATGATGAAGATGATTCGGGCGACAATTTGGATGAAGATTGCGAAATTAATGACGTAATGAGTGGTGATGGCACAATTGAGAGTGAGATTGGGGGCTTGTCCAAAGATCAAAAATTTTCAGCCATTGAAAGCGATGATTCGACATTAAGCGAGCTCACAGACTTCGTTAGTTCGACGTCAATGTCAAATGAGGAAGCAAATACAAGCTTTATGCCCCGAACCTCAATACGTCAACCAACGCAACAACAGACAGCCGCAGAAAAAAGGGAGACAAAAGCACAACTCAAACAGCTACGACAAGATGAAATCGCGAAAGAATCCGCAGCGCGGAGGTAGCAAACGAGAGGTGATGGTAGAAGACGACGCAATCAGGTCAATATGATGAAAAACGAGCAAGGTATTCATTAAAGAGTGATCTACAAAGAACCTACATTTAAGCAGGCAATGGAGCTCCCAGACAATGAAGAATGGCTTAAGGCTTTCAAAATTGAGATGGATAACATCATTCGAAACAAAACACTTTCCAAGCCCATAGATGCATTACCAGAGGGGGTTGAAGCAATATCAGCAAGGTTAGTATTTGATGCCAAAACTGACGAAGATGGGAAGATAGTAAAATATAAAGCTCGATTGTTAGCAAGAGGGTTTTCGCAGATCCACGGCATCGATTATGAAGAGACTTTTTCGCCAGCAATTGGTATGGAAGGGTTACGAATAATCGTGGCAATTACAGCGAAACATGGTTGGAGAATCCATCAAATAGATGTTGTTGCAGCATTTCTAGCAGCAGACTTGACAGAGGATATCTTTCTTGAGGTTCCAAAAGAGGCACGACATTACTTCGGAAGATTTGTGAAAGTACTAAAGAGTCTTTATGGGCTGAAGCAGGCAGCACGATTATGGTACTTGTTACTGTCAGGATTTCTCGTAGGCATAGGATTCACAGCATCCACAACTGATCCAACAATATTGACCCAAAAGGCAACTGGCGTGGTGGTAGGAGTGCATGTCGACGATATGCTTATAACAGGTGCCAATGAGAAAGCCATTGATACTGTGAAAGTTCAATTGAAAAGTCGATTCGAAATGAAGGACCTTGGGAATACGGAGAATGTTCTAGGAATTCGCATCAAACGTCAACCAAATGGTGCAATTTCAATTGATCAAGAAAAGTATGCGAGAGGAATTGTGCAAGAATATCTTTACGAGGACTCGCTACTTTATGCTACACCAATGGAGAAGGGAGCTGTCAATGATTTAAAGGAAAATCCAGGACGCGTATTGAACGAAGGGGAGAAGAAGAAGTACGTTCAACTCTTGGGTAAACTTATGTGGCTCAACAATACACGTTTTGATATTGTTTTTGCTGTCACTAGAATGGTATCATTTGGGACGGAAGCAGGCTGGAACCATTGGAAGACTCTTCTTAGAATTGTCGGATATATTTCTGGCACAGTCATGTTTGGTACAACATATGGGAAAAGGGATCATAAGGGAGATCCACCAATTGAATACTATACTCTGAACCATGGTGTTGAAGTAAATTCTGGGTCAGCACAGTTGAATGACGAAATGGGCTATGCCGACGCAGATTATGCCGATGACCAACGGGATAGAAAAAGTATCCTTTGGTGTGTCTTGATGCTAAACGGAGGTATAGTCCACTGCTCGAGCAGAAAAATGCATTCTGTAGCTAGATCAACAACTGAGGCTGAGTATGTTGGAGGTAGTGAGGCGGCCAAGAAGGTGATCTGGTTAAGAAGACTGGTCGCAGAAATTGAAGGCAAAGACTACGCTGGTAGCGCCGCGCCGATGTTGTTAGGTGATAACAAATCAGCAATTAAACTAGCGTCAGGAGTATCAAACACTTCAAAAATAAAGCACATTGATATTGCGTACCACCATATCCTCAACAAAGTAAAGAAAGGTACGATCTCAATACGGTGGGTGCCAGGGGAGCGGCAATTAGCCGACGGAATGACAAAGGCATTGGACAGGGCTAAGTTTGAGGCCAATTGACAAGCAATTGGGATTTCAAGCGTGATCACAAACCTCTGAATAGCTTCACTCTTCGCTATTTGCGAGTTTTAGAGGAGTGTTAAAATACAAGGCTAATCCTAGTAATCAGGATTAACATGTGTCCTTTATGATGTTTAGACCCACTATTGTAGTGTTACGGTTTGACCGCTATTAGAGCTTAGGTGAATACCTAAGCGGATTGTTGGGAATATTTACAACTAGGCGGCACTTCTAGTCAGGAGGTCGAAGCGTTACTACAACCAAGTAACACCTGGCAATGCGTGGCTGGGTAGCAAGTATTGTGCCTAAGAATAATTCAACAGTCTGGAGATTGACGAAGGGGACCAATTTTTATAAATACCTGTCAGTCGTAGCTAGAGTTCTCTTTTCTCCTCATATAGTTTAATAAATCGATTTATTCACAACCAACTCGATTTCCGTCACATGTAGAATATATGTGGCGAAGCTCCCCGAGCCTTTAATAGAAATCAGTTGAACCAGTATATTCTTTTTACAAAAAAAAGCAGTCCCTACTGCAAAGGCTGTGCCGCGACCTGTGGCCAAAGCCAAACATAAATAAATTCCCAAGGCGAAAGTCGACAAGCAACTATTCCTTCGGCTAGAAAAGGCCCATCCGTGGCGAAAACTGTCAACAAATATCGTGAGAAGTAATGTGGACAGTACATTCCACTACTTTCCTGATAATATAACCTCGTTTCTTCGACTGAAGACCGGCTTTGCTATATTAGTAAAGAACGAAAAAATACGACAAGAGATGATAGATGCCTCTTCGAATCTGGCGGGTGTCAACGCCAAACTCGAAGCATCCTCGGATCTTGTCGCCTTACAGATACCGAACGTACCTGTAAGTATAATTAAAGGGCGCGGACCAAGACCGGCAGATGCCGAGTGGGTCTCCCTCCAGTTCGACCATCGAACCGGCGAGACACCAATTCAGGTGCGACCGAACAGGACATGCCGTCCTGGGGCGCTGTACACAAATTGGCAAGCCCTCTTTGCCCGGGCTTCCACGCCACTCGTGGTTGCTCCCGTGCTCCAGCCTGCTGGAACTGCGGATCTATCATGCACTCGGAATCCGAGTGCAAGACCCTCACTAAGTGTCGCAAATGTGCGGGACCTCACCGATCAGATTCCCGGGATTGCCAAGCCAGACCCAGAAAATCCGGAACGGTGACCAAAGGGCAGCTCACGTGGATTCGTTACATCGAGCAAGGGAAGTTCGCGAAGGTGGCACTAGCCAGGGCTGCAGCCAAAAAGACTGAAGAGGCGATCATCGCCGGGGCGAAAGAAGATTTGATGGCTGAGGCAACAGGTTTCAGAGTGCTAGAATCTGAAGGTGAGAGAGACGATGGAATGTGTGAGGAGCGCATTGCTTGGGTCCAACACGGAGGACTTTTCTGTCTTTCGGATCTGTTTTGATTTTCGGGGTTTATTTCCTTTTTCGTTTCTGTTCAATCAGCTGCAATTTTGGCAGCGATTCACGAGGTTGGAACGAGTTAGGCTGTAGGGAAAATTATAGAGAACCTTGCCGGCTCCACTGGTCCTTCACCCGTAGTGAGTAAAGAGCTTTAGCTTAGAACCTATTGATTTAAAAAAAAATCAGGGAAGCAATTCGGACATTTGATAGAAAGACGGATCTGAAGGTCGCAGCTTAAAAGCGTTTTTATAATTCCCCACAAATAACACCTAAGATACCGCAAAGACGGGGAATTGGAACTAAACTATCGTACTCACCAGCCTTAGCTCTATGGTCCACAAGAGCAGAGGGACTAATTATCATTACAAAATCTAAGAGGAGGAACATTCACGACTCAAAAAAATGCTCCTTAGTCTGCTAAGGTTATCTTCAATTTTTTCATGCCTTCGATAATTTTGATACAAACCAATCATTATTACTATACCGTCTCACAAAAATAAAATCTCAATTTATTTTCTTGGGAAATCATATCTTTGTGGCGATATCTTTTTATTTATCCCTACTGGGACAAAGTCCAAAAATTGTAAAATTTAAGAAGACTAAATAAGGAGACATCCATGTGCGATTACAATCCCATTGCCTTCCAAATATCTAGAGATGGACTAAAATCATAATGATCCATACATTCAATGCTTTGCCAAATCAGATGGAACACACAGCTGTCCAAAGTTCGGGATTTCTGTAAACTTTGCGGTAGGTGAACGATTATTTAACTGACTTGGTAATTTAATAATTTCGCCAAACGCATTATTTGTAAGTTCATTAATATTAGTATACTGATAGTAGCGAGGAGGACAGTTAGGAAAGTCTTTAACTGAAAGAGAAGTATCAGGGTTTTCTTGAATATAATTATTGAATCTACTTATGAAGTCGGGACTTTGAACATATTCGGGAATTCTCACAAAATGTCGAGGCAGGCGATAATAAGTTTCGTCGTACCAAGTTTTAATTGTGTTTGCTCCTAATTCGATGTTCAAATCATCTCTTACAAATGAAGTCCTGTACTGTTTCATTTTTCTAGTAAACTCGTCAATTTGGGGAAAGCTCTTGTTCACAAATTTAGCAAGCAATGGTGCATTTTCTAGCTCGTGCCCAATAAGAGTAAGTGGATTCCACAAATTTTGTCTCGGAAATTTTGAGGGTCGACGATGTAAGAGGTGCAGGTTTCCTTGATACCAAACCAGTACTGTCTGATTAGTTGGGTCTTCAATCCCTTTGACAAATCCTAACAATTCTTTCATTTCACTAAAGTTTTTCATTAGCATGACTGGAATCTTTGTTATTTCCCCAGCGCTTTTCTTCCTGGAGGCCAGACTTCCTTCTCCCTTGAGTAATTTCCTTCCACTGAGGAAATTTTTCATGCTTATAGGATGGTCAGCATCAATAATGATTGGCGAAATACTACCCGACGGTGCAAAACATGAATATTTTCCGATGACTCTAATCCTTCCCTGGTAGGCGAGATCGATAATGTTCCTATCCGTACAACTTTTCTCACTTATAAGTTTAGACATATGAAGTGGTATTCCTTCCACATATTCAGCCGCTATGTGTTTCGAACATGCCTCCGTTGTAGCCTCGTATTTTTGGTCACCACGTTCTGGGCAGTGAGTTATTTCCGTTAGAGGTTTGGTGATTATCTCAGCTATTTCATCAACGCCTTGCAAGATAGAGCAGTATGCAACAACGTGTGTGCCAGGACCGGTGATTTTGCTTCCTGAGACGTGTATTCCAAGAGAGATATCTGGCAAGAGAAACTCGTAGTCCTCGGAAACTTGATAGACCCCATAACTTGATTTTCCATAGTCTGAGCCCGTGACAACCATTCGTCCTATGGCAGCAAATAGAATAGAGAAAACACAACTCATTTTCCAAAGTTCAATCCAGTCAGCAGTGAGTAGATGCAGGTCTCTACAAGTTTTCTGCAGAATAGTGATGCAAGAGCGCAGAGTTGTGGAACTTGGAATGAAAATGCATTTAACAATCAATGTCTAGAAGTAGAGTTGTTGCAGCTTCCTCACTTGACCACTTTGAGGGCATTTTTTCTTCAAGTCACCAGTAGCCTGTGATAAATCTATGTGACAACAGCGCAGAAAATAGCACCATTTAATCAAGCAACAAGCCAAGACAACCAGATGATATTACCGTGAATGCAACTTCATCCGGAATGGGCGGAATTGTCTGATAGAGTTCACGTCATCTCCCAGATTAGGTTGAGGGAATAAAAGCAGAACTTGGCGAGTGGAATTATGCGCCGGGGATGATGTCGCGCAAGGAAAGAGGGCAACAGAGTTTATTGGTTCCTTCATCTACTGGCCATACATCTGCGTATGTATGGATCACACCTCTGATTCTTCTATCTCAAATCAATCACTCTTCATCTAACTTCGGATCTATGACACATGATCAGTGGTTTGTGTGGATGTTTCATGACTCTTTTGCCTTGTGACATAATAACTCTAGATTTTATTCGCACATAAAACTATGAGTTTTTTCCTTTTCGCATAGCTGTCAATACTCCCCCATCAGTACCAGCCCAGTGGAAGTTTCAAAACCTTTGGCTATCCAGGCAAGACTTCCTCAACTATGGGAGGACGAAAGCTGCACACCTATGAGTAATATTCTCTACGCACCTGAGGGGAAATAATCCCTTGGAGCCGAGATTAAGTCACGAACATGGGTGAGTTGAGTTACGGTAGATGGATTATCGGCTCGAAGGAGCTGCACTTGGTACTATGGTCAAAATTTCAATCGAAAAAGATTCTACAAACGCATGAAAGTCGAACAAAAACTCATAACCACGAATATACGATTCACGAATAGGCCTTGTTCTATCTGGGGGTCGCATTCAAACAACAGACACCCCTCAAACTCTTCATGTATTGGCGACGAGTCTTTTTTTTTCGTTCGATCCTACACCTGTGACTTACCTCCAAATTCATCGCACCACCTATTCACGCACGCCCTAATAAAGAAGGTGATGATGGAAACTGGTCGTTTGCGATGTAGGGAAATAGGGAATGTGCGCCGGTGAGATATTTCTTTTGTGCGGTAGTTTAGGTCCTCAATGACGACAATAACCCAACGGTACGATATGGAGGTGCAAGACTAGAGAAACAAAGTGATCTGAGACGAAATTTATATTTCGGAATCAATGAGGATATCAAGGGCTCGGGCGCATGGTGGCCGAGGCTGAGGAGGACTTTGCACTACGGCGTCTTTACAACGGGTTTCTGACGGTCAGGCTTGGTATGATTCAACACATATGTGAAGTCTGAGGTGGTTCGTTCATTTCAGTGGGACGAGGTTTATCTGTACCTCACGGTAGTTAACTTAATACGGCCCGGCCCCAGTCGTGCTTAAGCCCCAGTAGGAGTGCGATGAGTATCACTTTATGTTGGAAATCTAGACTTAGTATGTTTGAAGGTTTAGATTTCTAGCTATGATCATCAAGATCAACTGAATTGACTCGATTCCATACGATTAAGCTCAGATGAACAACATGAGGCTCAGTGGTATCTGAAATGCAGTGTCTAGGAAATGCTACCTTGCGATAATTAATTGGCTGGTTGTTGCTAGATCACTTCGAGTTTGGGATCACTAAAGCCTCGGGGATCTGTATTTAAGGATAGAATTACTTGTATATGTTAAACTAAGTTAACGGTATATTATATATTATTAATTCATAATGAGGAGAGAGTTCAATATCATATACAACTATCAATAAATTCTTGTTCGAAATTGTACACTTGTTCTTCGAGATATTTCCTCCTAGAAATCCTTGACAATTTCTAACACTTTACCCACTACGTTAATAAACTAAAGTACCAGTATTATTAGGACGAAGCCCTACTGTCAGGAACTGAGGATAGAGCAGCACCCTCATATTCTTTCCCTACACTACATCTGAATATTCTCTCATCTTGGAGCGTTTACCGGGTTACAATGGTTGCTATGGGTTACAAATGAAGTAATAGACTAGCAGCAGACGCACCCATTGAAGCCTTAGTTGCTCTGGTTACTATGATGTATATATGGGTTGGGTAGAGCCGATGTAGAGGGCCACGTCTTGTTTTCCGTCTTCCATTGACCTTGTCTCTTGTCCTAGTTTCTCTTGTCCCTTGTCCTCAGTTATAGCTAGAATCCCGAATTAATACCTTAGTCTGTGACAAATCTTGTCAGATATCACTCGCACTTCTAAGTTATCCATAAAACACAACCCCTGGTACCCTCGAGTTTGACACCTACTTTTCATCCAATCATTTTTCCTGTTCATGGAGGGTAGACCATCAAATGATTTACAGATGATAACCAGCTCCTAATACAACGGCAGTAGATGCAGTTATGTTATGATGTGAAATCATTCAGCCAATTAGACAAGCTGTATTAGATGATATAGAGATCTGTACAAGATGTGGTTGGTGTAGTGACATGATAACAGTTGCATGTGGATGGTTTGAACAAGAATGTAAACTATCCTTTAGCATACGATAAAATATCTTACATCACAAGATGGAATAGCCTACTAGTAATTAGACAGATGAGCTTTAGATATAAATAGGAGTATTCTCCTTTATATAGATAGCAATGATCAGGAAACGAATCTAATAAAGCGAACACATATCATCGTCCACTTCATAATAGTGTCAAGCACATATTGATAAAGCCACGGTCTGTGTGCAATTCCTCTCCTCATAATTACAATAAGTTAAGCTAGTCTTTTTTAATCAGGGACGGAGATAATCATGGATACACGTACCTAATGTGACTCCGATATCTAGGCATCGCCTGGCTGGGGCTGCAGGTTTTTGAGTATTATTATAATTGGTATATGATTTTGGAATTTAAATTTACGCTAGAATAGCTAAAATATTTTGTGAAGAGATATATTCATTGATAAATCGGAAAGTGGTTCAATTTGCTTTGCACCACGTTTGTTTTTTATTTTACGTCGTGCCAGCGCGCAACACGTTTCCCAAGGCCACATGCCGGTTAGCTCAGTCTAGAAAAACTACCCGACGTGTCGACGCTCCTAAGATCCCGGCATAAACTGCCTGGGCCCTGGCCCTCCTGCCAGTTGCCCCAAACTAAAAATACACCAAGAGGACTGTCACGGACTGACTGATGTTGAGATGGTATCCTGCCAACCTCTGGCTCTAAGACTATGTTGCTACTGCTATGTCATGGATAGATTCATGGTGTTGAGGTAGAGTCTGATCCTAGCTTCAGCTGGTATCCCTCTAGACAAGTTCTAGTTACTTCGATGGCGTTCTAAGCTATTCTAGCAATTAGTTTCTAGATATTTCGGGATGGTATTTTGTACTCTTACCAGTTCACTGAGCTTCGATCAGATTCTAGGTCACTCTCAGGAGTTCGACAGGAATCGGGCTGGAACTAGATTACTGTAGTCTGTAGCAGATAGTATCGAAGTATAAGTAGCTGAGGTATCTTCATGTAGAAAGCTCTCCAGCTTTCAGTCTTGTATTATTCCTTAGTTATTCAAGAATCAAGAATCAAGAACCTAGACTTTTGTTAATATATCATCTTCACCATCAAGAATCCAAGATCTCACGCCTACCTTTCTCAAGTTAAGTGACCAAGTCCCAGAGAACCTGACAAGGACCCTTCCTCTGGGTCTTCCGTTAACTATACTGCTTTGCACTAAGTGTATTGTATCTTGTAGTGGTAGTACGTCACTTCTCACGTGAGTCATCTCACGTGATATATTGAAGATAAGAAATTAGCTAGAAACACACAATAAAATCTTCATGCTTCATCTCTACAGGTTATGAGCCCTCATGCTTCCACTGTAAATACAGCGTCAATTTGTATTCTCATTGATTACGTGCTCCCACCTTCGCGTGAACCGTATTCTCGCAGCGACTCCCACACACAATTATGTCCAAACTATCACCTAAGCCCTCCTCAGAGGCAGAAGATACCGAATCTTCTTCACTACACGCAGAACAAGATATCACAATCGGCGATATTCAATTCGTAAACAGTGGAGATTTCAAGGAATCAATTAGAGAGTCAACAAAGAAAACTGAAATCTGGACGCTCACTGTACGTCTTGAAAGTATCGGCAAAATGACTCCTATCCTGATTCTGAATGAGTCCAATTGGCAACAATGGCAACAGTCAATAAAAGACTCATTATCATTATCCCAAACCTCGGCGGCCTTCCTTAATAACCCTCCTAAGGTAAAGCCTATCAGAATGTGGTCAAACTGGTGGGTGGCCAAACTCAGAGCGACAGCTCCTAATATACACACCGCGCCTTGTGACCCTCCTCGAGTTATTCTTAAACAAATAGCACAAATCTGCCATGCCAAATCCCACAACAATTTAATAAAAATAA